CCTTGTGTGTGCCCGGCGCCAGCGCACTCCTGTGCACGTTGGTGGACCCCTGCCCCAGCTGCAGCGTGGGGGGTTGGGGGCTGGGCTCTGCACCTGTGCCAGTGCTGTCAGTGTTCTGCTCCAGAGGTGGTCTGCACAGCTGCGAGAGGCCGCTGACCACTCAGAGCTCTCGCACGGGTAGCTACACTATTCGAGCTGGCTTAACCTTTTCCCCTTTTTTCACAGAGGGGGTGCAGGGCAGACAGCTGGGTTGACAGGGGGTTGTCAGGCTAGGTGCCATTTCAGACCTGACTGCCCGCCTGTGTACCTGGGCACCTCACCATACCACTGAGACGCCAACTGGAAATGGACAGCAACCCAGCTGACTGAGGAAGTGGGCTTGCTGGCTGCAAGGTGCCATTTGCAGCTACCACAGCGTTACAGCGTCTTTACACGGGGACCGATCAGGCTGCCGGTGTTAAGTACTCGGCGATTCGTTTTGCAGGTGATCAAAGATCATCCGGCTCTGGAATGCAACAGGATGTGGAGGGACCAGAGACAGTAACCCAGGACTCGGACACCACAGGCTTCCACGCTCTTCGGAGCAGGGAATAAAGAACCAGGTCTGTGTGCCCGGCTGTCAGTAAGGCTGCCCTGCCCTGGCAGAGGCTGGGTGAAGGAGGGCAAAGCTGTTCTGCCAAATTCCTGGAGTCTGAGCTCAAGCCTGGTTAACATCAAAGCAAAACTGCAAACACCAGAGGGCACGACCCCCTTCTCTGTCTGACTGCTTTTTATACAAAATAATTGCCATTCTCTGTGCTCTCTGGAATCTCTGGCATGTCTGAATGTAGAACATATAACACATGCATGAGAGATCACTTCTGGCTGTCCAGTAGTCTCCATCTGGGGGTCCCCTATCGTCTCAGTCCTGGGGAAAGTCCTCCTCGCGCCTTCAGGAGGGGCAGGGAAAGGCTCCCAAGCCCACCTGAGCCTGTGTAAGCCTCCTGCAAGAATGGATTGCACTGCACTGCATTTCTGCCCTGCCGAGCACGAACTGAGAGTTGCCCAAGCTTCTACAGCCACGTGCGTAAAAAAAGAACGATTAATGTAACGCTTCAGTATTGCGCCATCAGACACAGCTGCGACTCAGCTGCAGCCTGTCACTGCAACCAGCTCCCTAACGACTCGACTCACTATCAGTCGCATCAGGGCTGCAGGTCAGGAGCTGGTTACACTCCGGTGCTGCAGCAGGGGGCTGGGGGGGGTGTGTGTGTGGGCTGTCTCGTCCTGTGGGAACACTGGGGCGAATCTGCAACTCCCAGGATTCAGGAAGTCGGTCTGCTCCTCGGTTTCCCTGTAAGTGCAAAGTCTGCAAAGTCCCCTAGGCTAATTTTCTTTCTCCCTTCAACAATTCCACACACGCAGAGACACCCCTCAGAGGGCCTGCCTGGTGCCAGGTGTTGCTCAACATGCCTAATTGCACCTTTCAGCTGTTTTTGTTTTAAGACCGAGCTTGTCAGGGGCCGCCCGGGCGTGTGAGGGGCATCAGGGCCCGGGGCCCGTTGTGACTGGCCTCTCGGGGGTCTCACCTTCCTTGGTGGGCAATGTGTTCTTCTCCGCGGTGTTGGTCTTCTTCAGACACTTCTTGTCGAAGGTCTTCACTTCCTCTTTCACGGGGTTCTTGTCACTCATCTTAGCGGGGTTTTCTGCTCGTCACCGGGAGAGAGAGAGGGGAACAAAGCCGTCAAAAAACCTGCCGCTGAAATTCAGAATGTGCGAAGTTCTGGTGTGAAGAGAACGATTCATGACCGCGAAATGCAGACAGCTGTTACACAACGAGGAAGAATTGAACAGCAGCAATGGAACGGCCCGTTTTCTCCCACTTTGCAGGTCTCATCTCCACAATACGAGTGTTACAGTCTGGTGCAAGTGAGCGGAATTCCATACGACGCAAATATGGACATTTAGAAATGTCCGCCCGCAGCTCGGACTTGCGTCTCCTGAGGCGCTCTCTGCCAGCCTGAGGAACTCCGCAGGCCTCTGCGGTCCGGGCAGATGCGCCCCACCTCCCCCACCGGTGCTTCAAGCTGAGCTCCAGGCTCCTGCGGGGCGCCGCGGGTTCGATAGATTGAGGGGAGAGCGGGCCGCGGCACCGCAGCCCGGACACCCCCTCGTGCTCGAAAGCTCGCTCCAGCCACAGCGCCGACCCCCCGATCCCTGTCCCTTTCGGGAGAACGCCGATCAGCAGCTGTCACGCCCCCTGCCTACCACATCCCTACAAGGAAACACGCCTGCGCTAATTACTCCCCAGCCCTGATCGCTTCTGCCAAACAACACTGCACATCAGCCAACCACGACACCCCATCAATCAACGCACCCTCTTCCTCGCACAATACTTAAACCCTTCAGAACCCTCTGTTCTTCGCCTGGTATTGGTCGTTGGTATTGGTATTGGTTGTTCTTCGGGGCTCCTACATCGCCTTTGTTTCTGTATCCTACTCGCTCTTCGTTATGAACCTCTGATCTTTCCTGTGACCACGTCTACTGTCTTGCCCCTTCGGATTGGAAGCCTTCTTGTTGACCTTCACCTTTTGGATCACGGAACTGCTCCCGTTCTGGATTGGAAACCCACTCGCCTGCCTTTTGTCACTAACCTCGGACCTCGCCTCTCGCCTAGCCCTCCGAAGGTACCGCATAGGGCTCATCTTCCCCGTTTGCTCAGTGGGTCATTTGTGAGCGCAGCTGACCAGTGCAGAAAAAAGGCGGGTTTGTTGGGCGTGAAAACTCTTCCAAGCTTCGGAGTCGCCCTGCCGCGGTTGGAACACTGACCACAGCAGGCCCACGCCCACGCCAAGAACCCCACAGGGAACACGCGATCTGCCCCACAACTCTCTCTGGGGGGCAGGGCCAGTGACCGACAGCGATCAGGGAGATCTCTCTCTCTCTCTCTCTCTCTGCCCTGAGCAAGCCAGCCAGACCGAGCTCACATCGCTCACCAGTCTCTGACGCAACAGGTACCTGGACTAATGATAATGTTTCTTTATTAGCCCTATACAATTTCTTGCATTAGGAATTCGTCTTTTCACATACCCCAGCTTTTCTCCATGGAGACACAGACACACAGACAGGGAGAGAAGCTTGGGGTCAGAGCGCAGGGTCTGCCATTGTACGGCACCCCTAGAGCAGTTGGGGTTAAGGGCCTTGCTTAGGGGCCCAACAGAGTAGGATTCCTCTGCCGGCTGTGGGATTTGAACCAGCAACCCTCCAGTCACAGGCGCAGCTCCTTAACCACTACAGGTGGTGTAAGAGCAGGGAGCTGTGCCAGACAACTCTAGTTACAAGTAGCTTCACCGCCCGGCCAGACGTCGTCTCCAGTGTATAATTTAAATACGATTTGACCTTCTGGAAACTTTAAATACAGATAAAGGCTTTGCCTTCACCTACAGCTCTCTCAGATTAGGAGGAGGCGTTTCTGTCTGAGGTTAAGAGGTACCAGAAACGCAGAAAGGGTGTCATTTGATTGCTAGACGGTTATTTTTTTTAACGTCTGCACACGTGCACCGACAAGATGAATATCAATCCCTCATTATTAACTGCTGCGCCTCCCTTCCTACCGGGGGTGGCCAAAAGGAAATAGCACAATCTTATTGTTCCTTGAAAAGAAAAAAACGGTTTTCATCATGCAATCTCGGCGTTGCTTCACGAAATCCTTACACAACCAGTGGGACGCGTTCCAAGAAAGACAGGAATATGCGCACCAGAAGGACTGGCGCTCGGAGGATTCGGGTTGGGCGCAACTGGGCTTGGCCGAGGTTAACTCCGAGTCCGACACCCCCCCCTCCAGCCCTTCCCAAATTCCTCCCCTACACGGAAGCACAGACTGCACCCCAAAAACTGCGGTGGCAGGTGTTGGGGACACATCGGCGCACCGCGCGGTTTTAAAACAGATGGCGACGCGCGCGTGGGTTGGTTTGCAGAAGGAAAGGGAGAATTTTTTATTTATTTTTTTTGGGGGGGGGGATCTTTGAAATTGAACATTGTTGCACTGCGTCAGATAAGGGTGGGGGAAAAAAGGCGGGAGCCGCAACTTGTGATCTAGGCACGAAGTCTTTGCAGCCGATCACGCCAGACCCCTGCGTGCGCGAACACGAGTGGGAGAGTTTGAAACACTCCGCACACTGCGGCTCCTGCGCCGCGCTGGGGGACGTCACAGCTGCCGGAGAGAAGATAGCCTCGACTTTCCTTGCATTCAAGAAAAAAAAATAAAAATAAACCCAATACAGTTCAGATGCCTCTCCCCCCCCGGAAAGGCACCGTCCCACCTCCATTAATTTTAATACTGAAAATGTAAAACAAACAACGATGAAGCACAGCTTGCAGTGCAAAATAAAAACCATAAATTGCTTAAATAAACGTTACCCGGAGCATGACATCAAACCCTTGAATCTGACAGAACACCAGGCAGAAACAACCACATAGAATCGCCTAGGTTAAATGACTGTTTTACTGACTTTTTCCGGTTTTTAGCAAAATGTAAGACCTACCTGAGACCACAAGGACCAACTGATTCCTTCTTGAAAGGTGTTTCTCTGCTGGCTGGAGAGAAGCAGAAGCTTTAAATAGGACAGCACACCCCACACCACCTTAACACAGGCCCCTCCCCTCCTCGCCTATTGGCCAAGAGGAGCCCCGTCCTTGCATACGATTGGCTTCTTACGCGGTCTTTCAAAAGTCAAAACATTTCATAAGGCGTAGGGTTTTCATGTAATAAAAAAAACAGCTTTTGCTTCGGCTAAAACAGTTCTCTCTTTTAACAAACTAAACAAAATGGTGCTTTCCCGTTGAGGGGGCACGATTCATTTAAGCTACGTATGTTCACTTTGGCGTGGTCTGTGCTGTTCCGCGTCGAGTTGGCTTACTGTACATACGAGGAGACAGGAGATTAAAAATGCGACAACAGCGACCTCTGGTGACCGTTAACGGAGTCGTGCAGACACCGGGAGCCGGAGCCGCAGTTGTGAAAAGTTCTATCGGGATACACGCATCGCCTTCCTCTGTCCTCTGTCTTCCATTCAAACCTATTACAGGCTATAATAATTCGGCTGGGCTATTTCACTGTGGTTCACACCCGATGATGGAGATGTGTATTCCTGTTTCTCAGTCAGAAGCTAAAACGAAATTGAGCACGTATACTGCATGCTGCCTTGAACACGCACACAAAGAGAGAGACAAAAAAAAAACTGATCGAATTCATGACGCGACTGGATCACAGGACTCCTAGGACTGTGCGAGTTTTCAGTTTTTCGGCCACGGCGGGGTATCTCGACCCAGCGGAATACGTAGTTCAGGCGGGCAGCTGCGTCAGCATGCGTAGGCTGCAAAGGAACAAGTAATAGGTTCATTCCTTGCCAAAAAGAGAAGATAACACAACGTTTCGGCCGTGGAGCCTTCTTCAGGCGTGAGAAAGACAGGGCAGTAAGCAAAGGTCATATCGAGTGGAATAGTGCCCTTGGCGTCAGGATTCTCGGTTTGTGAAGCACGGAACGGCGATGCGGGTATCATCTGAAATCATCATCCATAGTTGTTAAGATACAGAAATACAAAGATTCACACAGACATAATCTTTCAAAAAAAATTTAATGGCTATTTTATTCCCTTTGAAATCTTATTAAAAACAACAACCATAGTGCGGATTTAACTGGCGCACTCAATGCACCGTGATGAGGTTTTGTCTTGAATTCAGGACTGTAATACATTTACAGACGTTCAGATATCTGAGCTCTGAATCTGAGATTGGATATTTCCAATCATCCACGAAAAGAAAAAAAACTTTAAAAAGTGCATCAATAAATTAGAAAACGAACTATGGACTAAAACAAATCAATATAAAACCTGAGATGCTAGAACGGGATAGTTTTGTGCGAAACTTGGTCTACCGCAGAACCCCCCCGAACTTCATTAAAACCTTTCAACACTTTCAGACACCGCCACCTGCTGTTTGAATGGAAGAGTACAGCCCACTGACTGTACAGCACAGAGAGAAATACAACGGACGTGGTGGTCAATGCAGCAATTAGAAACCAAACCCTGCCTCCCAGAGGTCAGTGATTATTTTGAAAATCATCGTTCATAAAAAAAAGTTTTTAAAAAAGGTATAAAACAGTAGAGGCCGACACCACACCTGCTCAATCAACATTAACGAGCGCTCATGTTAAGTCATCAGGTTTTGACTTAACAGGAGACCAAACATTTTTATTATGAAATATTACAAACTCAAAAGCGCTCACCTGAAATACTATTATGTCGAGGAGCTAGTGCTACCCAGGATGCATGAAATACTGACTTTATGAATCTCTGCTGGAAAACTGACCAGATTTAAAACCACCACAAATAGTTCAATATGTAAAGAAGGCAGGAGTGGCAGCTACCTGCAGCTCGAGCACAGAATCATTGTCCTGGACAAGAGCTGGCAGGAGCAGAGGATCCCTTAGAAATTCCTCTTCCTAAAGCACCTTCAGGCAGTGAAGATAAACCGGAAATGACCATTTCTCCGCTGTTGGGCACGGAGGCTACTACCCTATAACATCCCCGGGAGGAATAAACCGCATAATTCAGTGCCAAGATGGTGGCTTTGCACCATCAAAACAATCACCTCTCCCTACATTACAGTGACTACAAAAAGAAGACACTTTGCCGCCTTTGTTGTTCAGTACTGAGACACAAGAAGGCGTCCAAACATGTTTAGGCCTCGGCCTTCTTAGGTCCTCTCTCAAGAGGAAACATGCAACACACAAGGCCACCAACAGCGCTGAGTTCAGGCCATGAAGCACCCTGCACTTGAGATCAAAGAGGTCTGTGACGGGCTGATGGGCTTGTCTCGGGCGCAGTGCCACCTCGTGCCCTGTTCTTCTGGG